TGAATAAGCGCCCTCACCTCCTACCTCAATTTCTTAAATAGCAGGGATACAAGGAAAGCTTAGTTCTATTGCCACTTTATTTAAGTCTTTTTGAGCTTCAAGTGCAGTGGAATCAGTACAAGAGACAATTTTTTTTTGGTCACTTACTATCTCCATGTTTTTGCTTCTCTTTTAATTTTGCTCATTTATTGGAATGCATTTGAAGAAAAAAAAATTGATAATGAATTACCAACCCCTTGATTGTGCGCCTTCTTTCCAATAAACACTCCTCTAGGCTCTACTTGGTCCTGAAGACTCGCGCCTCCCTCTCAACCAATCAGTGTAAAGCTGAGACAAATTGCGACGTTGTCTCTCGCGTTTTCCCGCGCTTTAAGTGGATGGCTTACTTCCACTTTGAGTTCTCATTGGCTCTTGTGGTATTTTGAATTTTTGATAGTACATGAGGAGCTGTACAAAACGTTATTCTATGATTTGTTCATTTCAGAACGTGATTGAGCGCATTGCTAGATGTACACGGGCTGATGTTCTTCGTTCCATGGAGCAGCTTAGTCGGCCACAACTGGGAACATGTCAGTCATTCAGGGTACAGAGATACACTCTAAAGGTATGACTGCGATTTCTTGCTGGATCGTTCGTTTTTCAACTTTTTCGCTGTCTGTTATTAAATGCTACTGCACAGGAAAAATGGTATCCTTCTCTCTCTCAATTCCAATTCGATTTTTAATTAGAAGCCTTATAACAGTTATTACGCCACAAGTAGGTTTTTTTAAATCATGAATTCCTGTTCAATTTGTCCGCTATTGCCTGATAAAGCCTCAGTCGAGTTACAGTAGAAGAGCTGGATCGAAGGGCTCCTTAATTAGCTAATCTATAGCGAAAAACATTGACTTGTTAATAAGGAGAGAGTTACTTCAGTTACTTAGCATTTTTAAATTTGTTAACTTGAGTGATTTTGTATGTAGAACGACAGGTAAGACTTGTCACTTGTTGTTAAATTACAAAAACAATTCCTGATCTCTACGTCGTATTAAACAGCATGGAGAGTCCAAGACACTCATGTTTATTGAAGGCTGCCCAGCTGATCTGGGTTGTACAGTAAACTTACGAGGCGGGAACAGTTTCGCGTTGGCTAAAGTGAAGCGGATCTTTCGACATATGGTGTACGTTGCTTACAGCTTACGACTAGAGCAGCATTTTCTAATGGATGAGTTTGCTATGCCTCCTGACACCAGTCATTTGTTGGAAGAGTGGGAAATGGCGAATAGGAATTTCGAAAAGAGGTTTAAAGTACGTGAAAATGAAGTGGATGGGAAGGAAGACTGCAAGGAATTTTGTTCAGAACAGAATAAAAACTTGCCTAAAGCGTCTCAGCAGGATACTGTAGAAGGAAGTGATCTGTTCATGACAGCACTGAAAAGCACCGTGCTGTCCAGTTCGCCGTTTCTGGACTATCCAATCCCGTACTTACTGACGGAAGCAGGTCGAAACATGGCTCTGAGATCCACGCTTCCACCGGATATTTACTGGTCTTCAAGGCTTACGTTGGACCATACCAGTCGTCCCTTGACCGAAGAAGGACTAGAGGAGTTTGATTTTTCTAAGCATCCTCACCAGCGATGTCTAAGTAAACGTGTTTGCAAGTTAGAGCCTCATCCGCTGTTGTCAGCGACGTTAACTCTGGAGCCCGGTGGTATGGTGTACCAAACACTACTGTCCGACTTTCGCGCACAGGGAGGGCAAATTCATCTGACGAAAAATGGGATGTCTGTGCGTAGGAGTCAAAGCAAGGTATTGGAGCATTTCACCAAGAAGACACCGATTGAGAAGAATACCGAGCAAGGCAAGATCCAGGGAGGTTATCGTGAAGGAAAGGGTAAAGCCCATGGAAAAACTGTTGAGTCAAAAGAGAAGAAAGATCCGTTTGTTCCAACGAGCCCACTGCATTTTAATCGAAAGGTAAGAGAAATGTTTGTATGATTGATTATAAGATGTGAGATTTTCGAAATCGGTAACTTTGTGTGTAGTTTTCGGTTACGTCCTCAAGTAAAAAATAAAGTTAAGGTTTGGGAAATCAATATTAAACTTTTTTCCAATACGCTTAAAGTGAGGTTATCGTTCTTGTAATGTATAATTACCTGTGGTGATGAGGTGGAGAATTTAAGTTGATTTTTTTTCTTTGCGGTGAAAGTGCTCATTAAGCGAATTTTGTCGGTGTAGTTTTATTTCACCCCTCAAAAATGTTGCCATATCATGCTGAACATGTTTTTTAAATACGCAAAAGAAACACACATTTAACGCGTCTATAGTAAAAGTTTAAACGCAGTTACCGTCGTGAAAAGCGTGCAGTGGCTTCGCGTGTACGTTGGTCACTGATCTGTGATGGATATGGCAATTATCACGGAAGTTTCGTTTAAGTCGGTGACAGGCGATCTATAGACCCGCCGTAAGACCTCTCGCAGCCGTATCCACCTACTACACTATCAGCAGCCGCTTTTGGAAAATTTTATTGAAACTTTCGAGTAATTCTTCATTTGCCACATTTTTATTTTGCAGCATATGGATTGTTTGGATCCTTATTTCCATCAGAGAATAGCTGTGTTATTCATCAGCTACTCAAACGAATCGAATAATTCACCCCGACCATGCATCAGTCCGTGGTGAGTAACTAGATGAGACACGTGAGGTCTTTGTCGCGTGTAACGCAATTTTCATTCGAGTGTCGGGAGTAGCACAGAAATACTTTGGCTCCGCTCCATGATTGGTCGACAAAAGTGGCGGCACCTTCTCAACCAATCAGATGTAAATCGCTTGGTCGCTTGAATTTTCCCGCGCTTCAGACACACACACACGTACACATTCACACCCCTTCCCCTCCCTGGCCTCTGATTGCAAGAAAATTCCTGATTTTGTCTTGATGTAACACGGAACATAACATACTCCTGTCACGTTTTGCATTTTCTGTAATTGCTATGGTGTGTTGACTTGTTTCAGGGCCGTCTTTATGGAGTTTTACGGACGAAATGATATCACCCTTGGTGGATTTCTCGAGATTTACTGCTTCAGGTACAACACCCGTTTCGTAACAAGAGCTAGTTCTGCTCCTGAAGTTAAGATGCCGTATTTTAAGGCTGGTTTTCCCTTACGGCGGAGACGGAGTCGTACTCAGAAACGCAGAGTGATACTATCCAGTGAAAATCAAACCGACAGAATCGGAAGAAAAATATCGATGCCGCAACGACTCCTTAACGAGTGGACTGTCGGAGTCGTAAGCCGTCGGATTGCTCGAGAACTGGAATTATGATTGGTTGGTTCTTCCATTTCTGCTTACGACTGCTTGCAATTGCTTGCGACTCCATTTTTTTTTATTTTCTCTCGTTTGAAAGCGCTCGTACGTCTTCGACTCCGACTACGTCGCCAGTGAAAACGTACTAACAAAAAAACTGCGAAAAGATGACGGTAAATACTAAGGTCGATTGTAAAAAAGAAACTTACACCAGCATATCTGTGTGAACCTTTTTGAAACACGTGGATTCCTTTCCAGGCCTTCCTACATCTGTCCCAACCCGAACTGTGACATACCCATGGTGGACCACGTGAGGTACTTCGCTCATGGGACTGGGTCCGTGTACATTCACATGAGGAATCTAGAGTCACCTATCCCAGGATTCCAACACACCATTCTCACATGGAGCTGGTGCAAAGAATGTAAACAGGTTAACAGCTTATAAAATGATTTTAGACCTTACTTAAAATCTTTTAAGCTTTGAATTCAAAAAAATGTGAAGTTGGTGCGGGACGTAGCTGACTTCTTGACGAGTTAGGAGTGACGCCTCTTCATTTCAATAGGATTTAAAGAGAGGATAAAAAATGAGAAATGATAACGAAGAAAATTCAAAGTCACTTCTTACTCTCTGGTCAAGGGGGAAGATGGTTCGAAGGCCCCGTCCCATGGTAAAATATGACATGAACAGACAGATCTTGTCTTTACAGACTGTTGTTTTCTCTACGGTTTATCGCTGATCCAAAATGTTTCCTTCGGGAAATACAAGGAAATGTAACGAAAAGAAGTGAAAAGCGAGGGAAAGAGCCAGGCAAATCACAAAAGAAAAGTTGTTTATCTTTCTGCTTTTATCTTGCAATATGCCTTTAAAGTCCAAGTTTCCTCATCTGCGCTCGTAACTATGTAACTGGCGATTGATATCTCTTAATTTTAATTCTTGTTTTTATTTATTTCTTTTCAAGGTAACGCCAATTGTACCCCTATCCCCTGAGGCATGGGCATTGTCGTTTGCTAAGTACCTGGAATTGAGATTTTACGCAGGAAATTACAAGCGCCGAGCGAGTGTGGAACCATGCGGACATTCTCTCCACAAGGATCATTATCAGTACTTTGCTTATGCTAACATGGTAGCTTCTTTCAAGTACGTTTTTGTTGTTTTATTTTGGTAAATATAAAAGTTTGCTTACGACTCAGATTCACATGGCTGTCGAGACCATTCCTGTAGTTTGAAGCGATTGCCAATATTGCCTCTCCACCCGGGTGGGTTACTAGTTTACCACAGGTTACCACCCCCTGCCCCCATGTGGGCTCCTCTGGTTACCCCCCACCACCACGTGGGCTCCACAGGTTACCCTCCACCCCAACGTGGGCATCACAGATTACGCCCCTCCCCCACGAGGGCTTCACGGGTTAACCCCCCTTTCTCAAGTGAGCTCCACAGGTTACCTCCCACCCCAACGTGGGCCCCACAAGTTACCCCTCTCCCCCAAGTGGGCTCCACAGATTTTCCACCCACCCCCACCCTCACGCGGGCATTTTGTCATTTTCATCCTCTCATGCGTTTCCTTTACAGTTTCAATATTTCTCTTCTTGTTGCTCAAATTTATATTGCCAGAGGGGTGTTTACTATTGTGTTTTTATCGCAGGTACCGCCCAATCAAACTGTTCGAGATAGCCATCCCCTCTCCACAGATTTTTATTCAAGAAAAAACAAGAGATGCCAGCTTTTGGATCAGCGACTTACGTGCCATGACAACCAAGTAGGATCACGTGACATCAGTGTAGAAATAAATGTTTCATCAGCCAAATGAACTTACTTGGTTTTATCAGCCAATTTATCCCAGAGCTTATCTCGTTTTTAATTGCATGAGGTGACCAGTGTTACGCCTTTTGTTTCATCCGCTCCCCTGAGGGATTTTCTTATACTTAATAGTTCATTGGTATCGATTTATACCCCTTTATGGAGAGATTCACTTTAAGAGGCAAGTTTCTTGCCCAAGAACACAACACAATGGCATGGTTAGGTCTCTAACTTGATCCGCTCTTCCTTGTAAGGAGGTATGCAACGATATTGGGTAGCGACTCCCTTGAACCCGTATGGAGAGTGGAGACCCCTAGACGTATTCCACACATACACGTATATTTAGTTTTTTCCTCCAAATAAATTTCTGATATCTCATTACCCCTGACATTCTGTCCTTAAATCTTTTCAGCGGAAGCTCTGCAGAAAGACTTTTTAGAAAGAGGTTAATCTTTCCTTGATTTGTTTTACAGAGGTGACACAGTATTTGCTGCGATTTCTGACCGCCTTGAGTCCCTGAAAGATTACCCTATTATTTTGCCCGAACGCCAAGCAAGAATACAACAGTTATTTAAAATACTCAATGTAAGGACTCAGTAATTTTTCTAATTACGAAATACGACTTTTTTTTTTTAACAGATAGTCTAGGAGGCGCTTAAGGATCAACTGCTTTTTTTCATGTTGACAATATTTCGTTGCTGGCAATATTCATATAACCTTGCTACAGAAAATATTGTGGTGGTGTTTTTTTTTATCAGAAATCATGAAATCAATTGTAGAACGTTTTGATCGTGTTCATGAATCTATTGTCCAATAGTTCAGACTTTTCAACAGACCATTAAATTTGGATGGAATGCCTGTGTTTCTCTTTCAAAGAACTCGAATGCTGATTTTATAACTAGTGAAAGATTTTGCACTTGTAAAAATCTTGTTATCGCCATAAAATTATGTTTCCAAAGCATTAATTCATTGCTCTCTGTCTCACTTGGCTTTCCTAGGACGAGCACAAGCGTTTCCTGGAGCAAATTGAAATTGTGGAAAAGAAAGCGGCCAGTCTTCAGGAGCTAGATAATCCGCTGGCCACAGAGGACGTGAGCACCTGCGAAAACCTGGCTCCCGAGGATAGATTGGCTTTAGAGTACGTCATAGCAAACAGCTTGAATAGTCTCAAGAAAACCCTATGTGAAGCTGTAGAGAGTTGGAACAACACGTAAGAACTGTTCGTTAAGATTGCTACATTTACTTTTGTGTTTTGCTTGGTAGAACCTTCACGTTTTTACATTATTCTATTGAAAAGAGATTGGTTTACTGCCCAATTCTTCAACGTCATTACCAGTGCTCTATCTCTATTCCTCTCAAGGTAGGAAGAAAGAGGGCCCTGGGAACCAGTTTGTTGGTTACTTATGTAAGCATTTTTGTCCATTTTCTTGAAAATGTAAAGGTTGCAAGAATACGCTCAAGCTGAAAAGAAGAAAAATATCAAATCTGTGACGTCTTCTTACAAAGAAGGGAAGCTGTTGTCTTCAATGCAAAGCGATGCAAAGTCCGTATCCGAGGTAATGGTTTTCTCTTTCTGCTGCAGGTTTACTGGATAAAGGCGCTAATTTTTGTGTGGGCTCAATTTCTTTAACCGGGTTCGTAATGTAATAGTTACCTTGATTGTCCGGATGATTGTAGAGATATGCACTTTTTGATTGGTAAAGTATTACGTCAGATCCTGTTATAATTACCCTCCGCGTGGTCATTGTGATACTATAGCACCAGTTTTCCAAATGGACTTTTTGCGAGTTCTGAATTTTTTTAAAGGGAAAACAGATAAAATGGAGAAAAATGCAGTTGCTCTAGTAACCGCCTCGCCTATTAAAAAGAAACAATTATCTTCAGGTTCCGTCAGTAATATCGAACAATCCCCTCGACTTCCTCTTTGGGATTATTTTACAGTTCCATTTCGCCGGAGGTCGAAAAAATTGTGTGGCAGATGGGTGTCAACGAAATTTAAGGGTGACGTAAGGGGGATCTCGAAATACGTTAGTTCTTTTTATGCGGTATTATGAACTACTCAACTTAAATGCAAACAATGACGCTGTGTAATATCTAATTACCTATTTCTCCTCATCTGAACAGCAGCTGTCAAAATCGACTGATCTTATACGTGCGTCTGACATCAGTGTTCCAGACGGTAATCTTAGCCCTGCTCTCACCCCCTGGGGATCAAGATCACCATCACCTCACCCCAACCCTGAGATAAACGAAGATGAACCCGAAGTATTGAATAAGACAGACTTGGAGGTACTCCATGCAACAACTGGTTTTCGACCCATTCAGTACCCGGAGAATGAAACCTGCACCCCTGGGGATTCCCCCACGGCTGGTATTTTACCCGTAGGAGGTGTGGTTAAGGGACATTCTACGCCTGAGGCAAAAAAGGAGACCCTAGCTAGGGTGGGTCTGGACAAAGATGTTTCAAGGATTGAAAGACCTGCTGACTCCATTAAAGCCTTTGTGGCTGTTGCACCGAAGCGGGAAGAACCAGAAATTTCTGATAGATCAAATAGTGGAGAAGTCGAAGGTACGGCAGCTCTCCTTGAAAACCCAACAAAGAATTCTTCAGAAGTAAAGATGGCAGGCCAGGAAAATGTTCGAGTTGATGCTATGAATATACGTCCTGAAAAGGATCCTTCTGGTATCAATGTGGGCGGTATACAGTGGCCTGTGGATGTTGAGTTGGAGGAAATTAAGGGGGAAAATCTTGAGGTTGAGACGTATGGCGCCAAGGAGCCTGATGATAGCAAGACGGAAGTGGTCAAGGGTCCCTCTAGCGACAATATAGTAGACGCAAATGATCCTTTCGGAGATGAGATGGACGCAGAAACAGTTAAGGGTGCTTGTACAGAGAACTCTGGAGGAGAGCAGGGACGTTGTGGAGGACCATTGAAAGTTGAAAATGAACTGCACCTTAAAGGCAACAGAACCTCCTCTTGGTATATTGTTGAAAAAGAGACCGAAGACGGTGAAATATGTAATTCATCTTATGACGGGAAACAAAATGTAAGTCATGAACAATCTTTAACGTCTTTGGAAGAAGAAAGTGAAGCTCAGGGAACTGAGACACAAACGTTAAAAACGACTTTCGTACGTGGTCATCGCAGAGTGGCGTCATCCCCCCCTTTCATTGCTCTATTATCGAAGGAAAACGAGGTTGTTCCTGAGGGGAAGTCTACCAGTGCTGTAAACTGTGTGGAGAGGAGCAGAAGTGACTCTGATCTAAGTTCACATGCGAAAAAAGACCCCAATGAGTCTGTGGTGAGTTAATGCTCAAAACATCTAAGTTTGCCCTCTTGTGATCAAGATGCAAATCCTCTTTACAAATATCAATACATTTTTTAGCAAAAAGAAGATGAGAATTAACGAGCTTATCACCCAGAGGGTGTTATACCGATGTAACACTAAATTCTCCTAGTTATCTACAAGGAAATGTAGCTGGAGGGAAGAATTGAAGATCAGATCTTGGAATTTACAAGGGTTTGATAAACGAAAAAAAAATACTGAATTATACCAAAATTTTAATGATGTAGGAGCTACTGGGACAACAGTAAATCACAAGTTTAACAAAATTCTTGAACGTGATTTGTTATCAGCAGCCTGATTGAAGCCTGATAAGGCAGAGACTTTTCACTCAACAAAACGAGCACCGTGATTGGTTGACTTCGTCTCGGGAAACATCAGGACTCTTGGGGAAAAAAAAAACTTACTGTTTCCCTCGGGACTATACAGGCTGTTCAGGTTGTTCGAAGATCGGATAACGCTATCCACTGGATAACTCTCTATCGGGTGGATAACGCTATATGTTTCGCTATTACCTATCCGCTGGATAGCGATTTATCCGTTGGATAGCGATTTATCCGTTGGATTGCGATTTATCCGTTGGATAGCGTTATCCGCCCTTTATACAACTGGGCCCAGAAGTGTACATGGTATACTACTGGGTTCATTTTCTCGTAGATAAAATCAGTCATATTTTGTCTTTTCATCTGGGATGTGCTTAACAAATAAGTGTTTCGTTTCTGAAATTTTGTAAACTTTTGATTCATTAGTGACAAGGTATCGTGTTGTCCAATTCTGTCCGTAATCATACTCGTGACTAACATATCAGACTGCCTCTGCGCGATTGTATGATTTTGTTGATCACTCCTACGATTACAGATCCAATTGAACCCCACTCGATCCTATTACGATTTATTACGATTATTAATTTACTTCATGTTAACTTTTTTATCATTATTTCTTGTCTCTATGTAATCATGTTGCGGTAAGTTGTCAAGCAACTCAGAGAATCTGGTTGAAGATGAAACCGATGCAGGTTGGCGTGGAAAAGGAGACAGGACAGCTAAGAAAAAAGAAGCAAATGACTCTTGTGGTGAACGAAACACGCACGAAGTTAGAAAAGTGATACCATCAGCTTTCAACAAGAAAAGTGAGTAAATAAATAGTGTTTTTTGAAATACGATTGTTGTGGAATTGGAAGATTTGTGTAGAAAATTATAAATACATAGGCAAAATGTTAATTGCGAGAAGGGATTGGTACTGATTTAATCGGCAGTGGAGACTGGTTAACTTTGTCTTCAGTCAAAGTAAAGAAGAAGGATGCTTCACAACCAAAAGTTTTTTCCTCCAACTTTACAAATTATGAATGAAATTGTGGCACTAATCTTCTCCATCTTTGATCATTTTTTCCCCTGTAGTGCATTCTGCACATTTTGGTTTTATCTTATCAGTCAAAATAATATTTTTTGGTTTTCCTAACACTGAAGTTAATCGTACACGTCTAAAAAATTTTGATTTCATAGCTCGCATGATCTTAATTATTTTTTTCATGTTTTGTGTTGTTGGTTGTCATGTTTCTTTCTGTGATTGTTTTTGTTTAGCGATTTACATGTTTTTGTGTTTTTACGTTAAACCGCACGTCACTACTGTCGAAAGCAGGCTCTTTTTTTCTATGTCATTTTGCATTTACCCAGTTTTGTATATGACCGAAACTTGCATATGTAACTCTAACCGATCAGAACCCACATGAAAATTTTGTCAACCAATTGGGAATAATTTGCATGTTTGTCATTCTTGGCACAAATTAAAGTTTGTCCCCCACTCGCTACCGCCATTTTTTCCCGCGTCATCTTTTTTCCGCGCCATCTTTTTTCCGCGCCATCTTTTTTCCGCGCCATCTTTTTCCCGCGCTTTAGTGGCACGCGTTGCGCTATCTTGCTCCGTTTCGCGCACGTTGCCTCATCTTCCTTTGCGTCTGATTGGTTCAGTTTGTAGCGTGTTTGTTGTGATTGGTTGAATTTAATTTTCCTGAAATAGGTGGTACGGTAGACCTTTTGAGAACCATTTTTTGTATTTAATAACTTGTTTATTTATTTATTTATATATGCATACGTATGCAACGTCTTACGAATTCTATCTTTGCCTTTTGGCCTTTAATCTTCGATAATTCTAACATACATTTCAAAACATATGAGCAACATTTACTATGCTGTTGAGTAACTACTGAACAAACGCTATTGAGTGCTAGTGTAACCGCCGAATTAATAAAAGCTGGTAGCTTGCTCTTGACACTGGTCGGGTAGAGAAAACCTTGTCGCCATTTAATCGTCATACGATGATTTTAAAGTTTTTGGACTGGTGATTTTAACTTCAATTTTATAATGTTTATCTAACACAGGTTGAGGTCATAACCACAAAATTTGTTTTTCGTTTCCCATCGCCTCACGGCCCCATTTTCGGAAAGGATAAAAACATAATCTGGCAAGCAAAATTTTGATGCTAAACTAAATTCTCTTTATGATTTTTGAGTGGAAGCATGTAATTATCACTTCGGTTCGAAAAGTAAGGGCTATACTGAGGAAGACACTTAGTTGGGGGACGCGCATCTTTGACTACGCTTTCTTTTCCAGTAACCTGAGCTTCTCCTGAACTCCTCCTGAACTCAGGGGGTAAGTTTCTAAAGAAACTGTGGTGCTGCGTCGGTGGAAGAGTATAACAGGGTAATTTAGTGTTGTCTACTGAGTTGATAACCGTAAAGAGTTTAAAATCTGACTTTCGAGCGTTGGCCCTTCATCAGAACGCTCTGACAAAGGGCTTATGGTGGCTAATTAACATTAGCAACTCAGTTGATAATACTGTACTTAATAACCCTGTTGTCCTGAACCCAAGCCTCAGCAATTCCGATGGGAAACGAAAAATTTTTATGGTGATGACCATGTAACATTGAGGAGCTTTTCATCAAAGAAAGGCTTTAACTTAGTTGGATAATCGGCTTAATCTTATTTGAATTATTTAACCAATTGAATTTCTTGTGATAGTTTCTTTTATTCTAAACTCACCCTGAATGTCTCTATAGTAAATTTCCAAATAGTCGAGAATAACAACTAAAATTTAAGGCTGTTACTCTCAAAAGAAAAAATAGGATGCGTCATCTTCTCAACTTCGGTTCTAACAGAGTTCTCTCTTTGAAGGTCTCTATAAGTACCTCACTTTGCGTATTCATGAGCCAAAAAATGATATAATGAGCGATAACCGCATGAATGCCTCATCTCTTTGACTTCGGATGTAACAGCCTTTTTTCTCTGTAATTCTCACGCGTACCTCACTCTGCGAATTCCTGAGCTTGGCGTTCGACACCATTGACCAATGATATATTTGAAACTTTTTTTGTTCAAGGTCTCTATAGGGCCCAGTCTGTGGGGGCTACAAACCAGGGCGGTTCACCAAAGAAGGGTAGGGCTGGAGCGAGTATGCGTGATTGATCTCCAGTCGCTGTGTTATCATACGTCATTCATCCATGACATGAAATTTTTACCTGTGTAACCTCTAAAACGTAGAGAGCAGTGGCATATAAAATCTCCCCGGAAATCCTACACTCTATACAGACTGTATTTTTGTTCCAAAGTATAACTAAGTCCGCCACTCATGATCTTGGAATTTCTTGCTAACTCAGTTGATACATTGAGAGTGATCTGGAAAGAGGATAAACTACTTTGGGTAGGAGTACTGGGGCGCTGGATGACCTGCCAACTTGTCTTTCCCCACCCCCAACAATTCAAGCTTTCCAGATTTTTCTCCCCACATTTTGGATGAAATGCGGTGTAAAACGGGCAACACTTTTTCGCTTTTTTTTTTTTCCCTATTGTGTCATTCTCATTGAAGCAGGTGATGACCGTTTTACACCGCACATTAGCACGAATTTCTTTCCCCCTATAGTCTGTAGGGGGAATATAATCTCAGTAGTCCCCGACTGAATTTTCGATCGAACGTTTCAGAGCAAAACCAAATGGAGTTATCCACAACTCGCAAGACGAACGATTCCTGTAATTGTGGCCGCTCAATAATTTTACTTTGGAGTTACGATATTCAACAACGGCGGCCAAGTTTCATTAAACTTGTCAAATCTACAGTCATCTTTATGATACGCATGGCCGGTAAAAAAATCCGCCATATAAAATTGTTTTTATTTACCTTTATTTCAAAGGTGTTGTTCGTTCACAATCTTGGGCGGTTAATCAGTGGCAAGTGACTGCTAAAAAGGGTAGGGATGTAAAATTTTTAAAACATACCATTAAAGTTCCTTATTTTGAACAATTTGTGATCGGCTTTTCTTGACGTTCTTGTAGCAGTCACATTTTGCTAATTTATAAAATGACTTAATTTTTGTTCAGCAATTAAACGATTTCCAGTAAATTTAAACAAAGTTAGTCACAATGTTACCTTAAAAACTGCTGAACAAAGTTAACTAGTGATAATTTACCGTGGATAAACAAGGTGATGTAACTTTCCATGAGAAAGATATCGTATCATCTTAACAAACGTAAACTGACCATGTTTCATTACTCCCTAACACTAGCTCGTCTCCCGAGCTGAATGGCTCATTTCAATTGTTTCTGATTATGTTGTTATTTGCTGCAGTTTACCGTCAGATATAGACTGTTTTGTGTTCTGTTTAAGTCTTCTGAAATTATTTCCTGTCAACAGCTCCTGTCTTAGATGGAGGAGACCCGGATGCTACGCCTGCCACAGACGGTATGCCGCTGACCAACCTTACTCCTCAA